GCGGCCTGCACGGGCGTGGGCCGGGTGAGCCCGACCTGCCGCGCCTGCTCCGCGAGCCACGGCGAGATCCCGAGCTCCCGGAACGCCGCCATGATCCCACCACGTGCTCGCCCCGCCCCGGGCGCGCCCCGATGGCGTCAGCGCCGCCTCCGCCGCCCATTGGCCGTCTCCCTCCAGCCCCGCCCACGCCGCAGTGTTTAGGGATTCTCTCGGCGTCGCTGTGGTGGCATTTACAGCTCCTATTGGCGGTCGCCATGGCGACGGCCGGCTCCTCGCGCTCCTATTGGCGGTCGCCATGGCGACGGCGGCTCCCGGCGGCCCGCGCGCGGCGCGGGCGCTTCCGGGTACGTGTGTGAGAGAGCGATGGCGGCCGGGAGCGGAGCGGCGCCGGGCGGGGACGCGGACGAGCTGTTCGACCTCCGCAACAACTTCTACATCGGCGCCTTCCAGGCCGCCATCAACGAGGCGCAGCGCGCCAAGGTCGGCGAGGCTCTGGGAGGGCCGGGCGGTGCTTTGGGGGTCTTCTGGGAGGTCCTTAAAGCGCCGGGTTTGGGGCGCCCTGAGGGTCCCTCGGCCCGGCCCGGGATGGGATTGGGGGTCCCTGAGGGGAGATGGAGCTCCCGCGGGCTGGGGGGGTGGGATGCGTGAGGTTCGTCGGGAGGGGATTCGTGTGTGAGAAGCTCTCTGGGGGACAGACCCCTAAACATTCCCGTTTCCAGCCGTCCAGCCCCGAGAAGGAGGTGGAGAGGGACGTGTTCCTGTTCCGAGCCTACATCGCCCAGGTGAGGGGCCGGGGGGGCTCCACAACGGGGGCGTGGGATCAGTCATGGAATCCTGGAATGGTTTGGGTGGGAAGCACCTTAAGGATCACCCAGTGCCACCCCCTCCATGGGCAGGGACACCTCCCACTCTCCCAGGTTGCTCCAACCCGGCCTTGGACACTTCCAGGGATGGGGCAGCCACAGCTTCTCTGGGAATTCCATCCCGGCCCTCCCAGGGAGGAATTCCTTCCCCACGTATCCCGGGAACGCAGGGGGATGATGTCTGGGGATAACCCTGCTGCTGCCCCGGGATATCCCACATTCCCTGCGCTGGGGGTGGAGCCTCGGGGTGTCCCGGGAACACCCCCAGGAGCCTCATCCTGGGACGGGGGGCGGGGGTGGTGTCAGTGCAGGGGGTTTGGGGGGACACAAAGCAGAAATCCGCCTTTCCCGGGGGGTTTGTTGTTCTCACGGAGGGTTTGGGGAGTAACAATTGTTTGTGGAAAACGAGGGACTCACAGGCTGGGCTTTGTTGCCTTTCCCAGAGGAAATATGGAGTGGTCCTGGATGAGATCAAAGGCAGTGCCAGCCCCGAGCTCCAGGCAGTGAGGATGTTGGCAGAGTACCTGGCAAATGAGAGCCAGAGGTGAGAGACATCAACCCCTAAAATATAATATAATATGATATAATATAGTATAATATAATATAATGTAATGAAATATAATATAATATAATTAATATGGTATAATATAATATGACATGATATAATGTTATAATATTACAATATAATATTGTGGTATAATACCGTGATATTGTGTTAAGATAATAAATAATGTTATTTTATACAATATATTGTGTAAGTGTATATACAATCTATATATAATATATATAATCTATAATAAGATCTATAATGTAATAGAATATAAAAAATGTAATGGAATAGAATATAAAAATGGAATATCACTGTACAATGTAATGTACAGTGATAGAATTATGTTGTTATATAATGGTATAGTTTTATAATATAGTAAAATATAAAATAATATAGTATAATAAAATAATATTTATATGAAATATAAAACAATGTCTATATATAAAGTACGTAGAATATGAAATAATATAGCATAATAAAACAATATCTGTATTAAATATAAAACAATATTTATATATAAAGTATGTAAAGTATAAAATTATATAGTATAGTGAAATAATATGTATTAAGTATAAAATAATATTTGTATATAAAGTACATAAAATATTACAGTAGCACATAATATGATATACCATAATATTATGATATAATGAAATATTAAGTAATATAATGAAATACTATAAAATATAATGTTATAATATAATGATATATCTTAATAAAGTGTAACCTAAAATAGCATAAGATGCTGTATAATTGTATAATATCATTATATAACATAACAAAGCACAAAAGAACAGGCTGTTTTACCTCATCTCCCATTCCCCCCGGCTCTCCCCAGGGATGCCATCGTGGCTGA